CCCACACATCTCTGAACACTATGGGGTAATTTAGCACGGTCAATCCACCTAGCCTGCATATCTTTGGGAGGAAACCGGAGCACCCGGAGGAAGCCCACACAGACACGGAGAGAATGTGCAAACTCCATGCAGAAAGTCACCCAAGGGTGGAATCGAACCCAGGTCCCTGGCACTGTGAGGCACAGTGCCAGCCACTGTGCCACTCCTGTGTTTGGTTTCAAAAGTACTTCATTGACTGTGACATGCTTTGGGAAGTCCTGAATTAGTGTTGGGAAGTCTTGAAATATAAATGCAAATTCTTTCTTTCTTCTTGTGTGCTAACCCTCAGCTCAAACTCACCAACAGTCATCTCTCTCTGATGAGAGTGTAGCCCCATAATCCTCTCTGATTCTGGTGACTACAATGACTAAGTCCTCGATTCTCTAGAACCTGCTGCATACTCAATCCTACTTATTGACTGAAGTGCACAGCATGTGGTGACAATGCTGTTCAGCTTTGCTAGATTGCACCATCCTTAATCGTGGTGCAAACAATAGAAAGATTAGTTGAATATATGTATGGCATACGTTACAACAATTCTGCTGGTAACATGGACTTCATTGTGTCATCTCACTGTGTCTATGTGGGCTCCAGTTGGCAGTCATAAGTAGTACAGAAAAGGATAATTTTCATTCACCAAAAGCAGACTATTCATTTTGTGGAATGCCACATATGTTGTCCCAGAATATAAGAGGCATGGAAAATTCCCCTGAAGCAGACTATCATACACTGTAATCAACACTAATCATCTTCTTGATCAGGTAAATTTCAAGATTCCAACATTCAGCTCTTTGGCCAAGTGGACATCTTCTGCAGCACCCTAGAGGTACAGAAAGTCTGGCTTGAATTGTAACTGCTCTTGCCTGGCTGAGAGGAAACTAGACTGTGTTGTGGAGATAGGAATGGGAAGAGTTAGGGAGGAGGGCGGCTCAAGAAGATGAAATCACCCACTCTGCCATGCTTCCTTCTCCTGACATTAACTTGCTCTTTTGAGCCAGACCCTCACAGGAAGGAAGCTAGGTCCTACTTCAGAAAGCAGATCAGGACTAATGGTGCCAATTTGTAATCAACTTGCAATGTCAGTTGAATGATGGAAGGTAGATCATTGGCCAGAGGAGGCTCAGAACTAAGTCTAAAAGTCTTATTTTGGAATCCCTTGCGGGACAGGAAGGTGAGACCGCTCCACTGGGCTTCACACTGTTTGCATTTTAAACAGATCCTTTGCCCATGCAGATTAAAATTAGCAAAGCCTTCTTGTTTCCAGTCTTGCAGGTTCTTCAGCTGGTATAGGACACCACATTTCATTCTCTTTAATGCAAGTTGGGACAGATGCTGGATCCTTTCCAACTGGCAAGTCATGAAGATGTTAGTCTGCCCAAATTGGTATCTGCTTTATGAATCTCTGTGCAGTCAATCAGTCTATTCCCTTTGCTGGCAGAATCCATTGTCCCTGTCACAGAAACAAATAGGCTAAGCATTAACTGTTGTTTTGAAAATGAATGACAATTGTTAACAAAACTAAAAATGATGTTGGTAACCAGTTTAATATCTTTTTTGTCAGGATCATCTATGAGAGCAATATTGGAGAATGCACTATTTTCCAGTAGTTTTCTTGTTCATTGTCATGATTAGTAAGATTCCAAAGTAAGTCATTTTGCTATACCTGATGCCAAATTTTCCCTTGTCTTATTTTTCAAGCTAATGAGATCCTTTACTAGAACAAGTGCTCTGGACCACTGTTGCATATTACCTTGTTGTCGAGAACAACACAAAGCAGTGCCACTGCAGTTAGAGAGGTATATTTGATTTACACAAATTATATGAAAACTAGCAATGTAAACTGGTTTACATTATATTATGCACTTTAGCACATTCCTAGGGGTTTAAAGTGGTTTCAGGTAGATATTACAATAACTAACAAAAACACCATCTTCACTACTAGAACTATATATTGCATATGTGAGAAAACTGAAATAAAAGCAGAGAGTGTTGGAAATACTCAGCAGCATGATAGCACCTGTGCTGGGGGAAACAGGGTGAACATTTCAGAACTTGCATCAGAATAGATCACAAAAATACTACATTTATTGTTATAGTCTTAATTCATAAATACAACATCCTGTGCATTCTCACTATCAGCTGCTGAGGCTCTAATCTCTGGAATTCATTAAAACTCTCCTCGCTAAAAATGCTCCTTAAAAAATGACCTCCTTCACCAAATTTTGGTCATGTGTCCTGTGATCCCCTTATCTGGCTTAGTGTCAAACTTTGACATATATTGTTCCTGTGAACCCACTTGGAATGTTTCACTACCTTAACATGCTACATTTTTTACAAAATACTCAGCCATAGAACGTGACCATAGTTGGCTGGCCCAGCAATTATTGCTCACTCACATTTGTCCTTGAGAAAGTGGTGGTGAACTGGCTTCTTAAACCACTACTGTCCATTTGCCGAAGGTTGAGTCACAGTTCTGCTGGGGAGAGAAGTTCAAGATTTTGACCCAGCAACACTTAAGGAACAATGATATATATGCAAGTCAGACTGAGAGTGCATTGGTGAGAAACCAGCAGGTGATGTTTCTATGTATTTGCTGCCCTTCTCCTTCGAGGTGGTAGTGGTCATGGGTGGGAACTGTCTTTGGAGCCTTGGTGAGTTTCTGCAGTGGACCATCTAGATGGATACATACTGCTGACACTAATGAATGTTTACTGATGTGGTGCCAATCAAGGCAGCTGCTTCATCCTGGATAGTGTTAAGCTTCTTGAACGTTGTTGGAGCTGCACTCAACAGGGCACCTAGGAGTAGTCCACCACATTTCTGAATTGTGCCTTGTATATTGTAGCCAAGCTCTAGAGAGTCAGGAGGTAAGTTACTCAAAGGAGTCATAGTTTCTGACTTGCTCTTGTCGTCACAGTATTTGTATGGCTAGTCCAATTCAGTTTTTTTTCCATTGGTAAGCCTCAGAATTTTGAAAGTAGGGATTCAGTGATGGAAATACCATTACTTGGTACTTCTGTCATGCAAATATATTTTCCACTCATCAGCTCAAACGTGGATATGGTTCAGGTCTTGCCTCATTTGGAGGTGGATTGCTTTGGTGTGTGAGTTGTGAAAGGTGCTAAAAATTGTACAATCATCAGCAAAAATCCTCACTCTGACTTTATGATAAAGGGGAGGTCATTGATGAAGCATCTGAAGGTGATTGCGTCTGGGATGTTCCATTGAAGAACTCTTGCAGAAATGTCCTGGAGCTGAGAATAACTAACCGCCAACAATCACAACCATCTTCCTATGTGCCAGGTATGATTCTAAACAGCTGAGAGTTTTCCCCTGATTCCCATTGTCTCCAGTTTTTCTAGAGCTCCTTAATGTCACACTTGGCTTTGATATCCAGGGCTGCCACTCTCATTTCACCTCTGAAATTCAGTTTGTTTGTCCATGTTTGAACCAAGACTGTAATGAGGTCAGGAACTGACTGGTTCAGGTGGAACTCAAACTGTTTGTTGGTGAGCAGGTTTTTGTCAAGCAAATGTTGGTTGATAGCACTATTGATGACAGCTTCAATCACTTTACAGATGGACGAGAGTAGACTGATGGGTCATAGTTGGATGGAGTGAATTTGTCCCGCTTTTCATTCACAGGATATACCTGGGCAATTTTACATATTGATGATTAGATGCCAGTAATGTAGCTATACTGGAACTGCTTGGCCAGGGGCATGGAGGTTCTGGAGCACAAGTCTGGTTGTCAGGGCCAAAAGCCTTTGCAATATCCAGTACCTCCAGACAGTTCCTGTCATCAGATAGAATGAAGCAAACTAACTGAAAACTAGAATCAATGCTGGGGACCACCAGAGGAGGTTGAGGTGAATCATCTACTGGGCATTTCAGCCTGAAGATTATATGAATGCTTCAGCCTTATGTTTCTGCACCGAAATACTGGGCCCCCCCATTGTTGAGAATGGGGATATATGTGGAACTTCCTTCAACAAAGTTATTGTTGAACTTCAGTTCTGGGTGACAGAAAAATAACAGTATTTGTAGTAGAGGAGCAACTTTACCCAATGTGAAACTCTAAAAATAAACGTTCATGCAGGCCACACGCTATTTGTTGCAAATATCAGGCCAAACATTTTGCGACATTAAGTTTATTTTTTGACGCACGTCCTTTGAAAATATTTCAAAAGCTGTACGAACATGAAGTACAGTCTTTCAAGAAATCTAAATATCGGTCTGTGCCTGATCTGTTTAAAAGATAGGCAGAAGGTAAATTTTGTTTTCACTTTTCTACTAGGAGCAGTTGTTTATTCGTATTTGTTCATTCATATAATTTGTAGAAAGAAGTACCCCCTCAGTCTTAGCGCAGTTAAATGGCCAGATTCACGAAACTAATTTAAAAAGAAATCCACTGGTTTCTGCAGACAATGAATCTTCACTTGAACAGAGGGTCCACTGAGAAAGAAAACATAGTGCGCACGAGGCTGTTTAATGAACCAAAAAATATTGACTAACATTTTAGCCTTACTGAGACCGAAAGATGGGAAACTTCAGTAAACAACTTTTCGCTGGTTACTCCTCCTGAAGAAACCCCACCTCAAACCTCCCATCCCTCCATTTTAAACTGAAACACAAAGAACCACAGATGCTGGAACAGGAGAAATTGCTGGAGAAACTCCGCAGGTTTGGGCAGTATGTGTGGGAAGAAGGCAGAGTTAACATTGAAGAATTCTGAGGACGAGTTACCGGACTCGAAACGTTAACTCTGCTTTCTCCCCACAGATTCTGCCGGACCTGCTAAGTTTCTTCAGTAATTTCTAATTTTAAAGTCAGTTTATATTCCCCCTGCTGCAACTCAGCACCCATCTTGTGCAATGGACTAGACTAACACCGTGAAAGCTGCTTTTCACCTCCATGATCCGCTATCTGGGCGGCGCTGCAATGCTTTATCGCCATTGGCCATGTCAAGCAAAACCAAGCGGGCCCCCTTTCAGACGAGCTGCGCACGCGTCTGCTCCACTCAATGAGTGATTTCTTTTCCCCCACTTCAATCGAGCTGCCGAGGCTCATAGGAGGTTGCTGCAGGAGCTTTAGGTAAGAGGCGCAACAATCTTCGTAGAACAGAGCGTTGGGGGTGGGGGTGGTGGGTCTGCATGCAATTGTACTGACTCTGTTACTTGAAATACATACTCACGGTTTGCATCGCATTAGGGAGGGAGAATTTGAGGAGAAGCGTGCGAGGATAAAGTCTGCGGACGAACATTCAGCCCAAGCAGTAGGAGGAAAAGAAGGAGGAGGTTTCTTTGCCGGGAGAGTTTGTGGAGCCGCGAGGCTGCAGGCTCGGCCGGGAGAAGCCGGGCTTCGCCGATAGAACGCGGCGTGATCCCCGGGACATTCGAGAGGCTCGGCGCGAGCGCCCGGTGCTGTGAGCCATCACCCAGCGGCAGGAGGATGGAGATCGCCTGGCTCCTGACCCTCACACTCTGCACTCTGGCAAACGGAGAGCTGGTAAGTGCTAACACCGTCTTCGGTTCCCCTCTGCTCCGTGGTGATGGCGGGGGGGGGGGCTCCCTGACGGGCAGGATCGCTCCGGACCGGCGGATACTCTGTGTGTGTGTGTGTGTGTGTGTGAGAGAGAGAAGTGCGCACCTTAACTCGCCGGTGTCACCACACACTTCGTAATTTCTTTGAAGACAAACCGTTTTATCGCCGCTCATGTGTCCAGTCTTTACTGAGAGAAACGGGCTTCAAAGTTCTGAGTTTGGGGGTTGGGGGGCGTGTAAGAGATGATACATGGGATTGAATATAAACCAAGCCATGCACTCTGTCTGGATTGTGATCCGGTTTCCACTTTATTCTCATAACATTCAGAATTTTTGACTCCCTCCCCAGCCACCAATTTGTTTTCGCTTGTGGCCCGATTGGGTGAATTCGAACCAAATGAAGCGATCGATATAGGACGCTATGGCGAGTCTTTTTTTTAAACAGAGCGCTATACACGTGAGGGAATGTTACATCCTTTAATCCCTGCTAGAACGGGAGGGCAGAAGTAGTTTCGCCTGAGGCTCTGGAAAGCAGATTGCAGTAAATTAATTCCCCTTGTCGCTGACTGAAAGGGATCAAGGCACAAGCTAACCTGTTAAGAGGAGCGAAGCGTATAATGAGCTCCGGAAGTTAAAGGAGAGCTGTGAAAGAAAAAAGACAACTTGCGCACAAAGTTCCTGTGCGTGTGAAAGTGCAGGTGGGCTCTGGTGTTGGAATTGCTGTGCAAAGCCTTTAGATGGCGTCTGAGATTTCTTAGCGCCTACTTTTATTTAAAGTACAGGACTATCGGAATGTACAACACCACAAACTTGCTGCAACCAAGTTGTTGCGTCAGTAATTTTCTGCATTATGTAGGATATTGTTCAGTTATGCGTTAGGCTCTCTCTGCATGATTAATCGCTCTTTTGAATAGAGGAAAATTAACTTGGCAGGAATTGACTAAGAATACAACGATCAGACGAAATATGTACAATTAGTTCAGATTTGAAATTTAAGCTCTGATAGCATTTCTGTTCTGCATTGAGCATCATCTGCACTAAGAAAAAACAAAATATTTGACACGGATGCTCTTACAATGACAACCATTTTTGAGCATGTGAATAAGAATTTAACTATGCATAGCTCATCGAAGAATAGACCTGTCTCAGTGTGAATATTTGTCAGCCAGTGTGGCGGCTTCTAAATATAATTTGTGTAGCAGGCTATTCCAGTAACTGCATAATTCGAAAGACACTGAGGAACCCGTCACTCCTTTTTATTATAAATTATTCCAAATTACTCCACTTAATGGAATTGATTTCTGTGAGTCTTTTATCTCTGAATGGGAACTGTGCTGAGCTATTGCAGCATTATTATCCGTTCAGTTTTATATAACTTACTAGAGAGCATATTATGTACTACTTTGAAAGTATTTCATAAAAACTGAAGTCATTTGAGCAAGAGTAGGCCATCTGGCCTCTTCAGCCTATTTCACCTTTTCCTGTGATGAAAACATTGCTGTGCCCAGTAATTTATTATTTTTGAAAACTGAATGACAGATTTCTAAAACATGGTTTGTAACAAAATTCCTGTTTTAAAAAAAAAAATTGATCTTTCCAACACATTCTAGAAAATAACAGAGTGCAGCTCAGGTCTAACCCAATTTTGCAAATTTTCTTTGAATAAATACTACCACATGGTAATTTTCACTAAGAAATTGCACAAGAATTTTCAATTAAAATTTCTCCACTTGCTGGAAAATTACTGGTACATTTTGATAGTATTTTTGTAAGTAAATATTCTTAACAAATACAAAAGTTTAAGAATAGCTTAGAACTTTTCTTCTTTATACAGCCCATTTTCAAGACTGCTATATGACCTGTAGAGTTTTACATAAGACTATATAGAGGAGAATTTTGCCATTCAACTCACCAGTTCTGCTGCGCCATTCACTATGATCGTGGCTGATGTGATAATATTCAACTTCAGTTTCCTGCCTTCCTGAGTGTAGTAAGGCAAATGGAAAGTTGGTCCTTATTTGCTCATAACCCTTGATTCCCTTATTTAAAAAAAAATTACCTCAGCTGTGGAGATACCTGATACCCCAGCTTCTCAGCGCTCTGTGGTAAAGTATTCCATAGATTCGCTATCCTCTGTCATGAAGATGTGACCCCTTATTCTGAGATTATGCCTTCTGGTCCTAGACTCTCTCGCAAGGAAAAACAACTTTGTCTCATCTGCCCTGTCAAGCCCTTTTAAGAATCTTGTATGTTCATACAGGACGATCTACTTAACCTCCCATCATAAGATAGTCCCTCCATACTGACTGGTATTGACAGAGTAAACCTACTCTGGACTGTTTCCAATGCCAATATATCTTTCCATTTGAAAGGGCCCGCAACTGTTTACAGTATGTCAGCTGTGGTCTGACTAGTGACTTGTATAGTTTTAGCACCACCACTGCTTTTATATTCCGTTCCCTTTGAAATAAGGGCCAACGTTCCATTTGCCTTACTACACTCAGTGAAAGACTTCTGAAGTGTAACCCCTGTTGCAATATCGTACAATTTGCAGCAGCCAAATTGAGTGCGAGTGCCCCACAAACAACAATGTGATAATGATCAGGAAACCTGTGGTGTTTGAGAGTAAATATTGCCCAAGACATCGGGGATAACTTCTCTGGTGTTCTTCAGAATGGTGCTGTGGATTGTTTAACATCTATCTAAAATAGGCAGGTGTGTGTAGTGGCACCTCCAGTAGTGCAGCACTTGCAGGACTGCGATCTAGTGCGACTTTGATATTTTTTGTTGTGCTCTGCAAACTTGAACTTGGAACCTTGTGACTCAGATGAGTGCTATCACTGAGTCTGGCTGACTCACATGCAGGACAGCAGCAGAGTACATTCTACAACATGGTACCTAACTGGGCATCAGTCAACATTTTTGCCTTTTTGATTCATTTCATTCTATATAACACGAGGAAATCACTTATTCTATTACGACTTGTTCTTTTTCTGGAAAGCTTATCCATTTTAACCTTTCTATCCTTTTTTAAAAATCTTTTGTGTTTTTTTTTGTCCTAACTAACTCATTCAAAAGAAAACAGCCAACTTCTTCCTTCCATTCTTTTTAACATATTTATGCTTCTTTACATTTTTTATATACATAAAGAAATAAATGCTGTGTTTACAACTTGTTTACTTCATTTTTTAATGATTTCATAGCCCTGTTTCAGAAGAGTTTGGGACAGAGAGTTTCATGATCTGACTCTGTTTCTTTTGCAAAAGGCTTTCCAACCTCACCAAGCTTACACTTTTATTACCATCTTGTCAATAAATAAGAACTCCTGGTTCACCCCTCAGCAAATGCAAATCCAGTGAAAGGCACCCTACCTTTTCGAGTCTGTTCTCTAACTTATATTTAATAATGACATGCTGGCATTCTTAATTGCCCTGGACAATGTAGTGGTGAGCTACCTGCTTGACCCACTCTAGTCATCGCACGTATCCTGACACCCCAACGATATTAGGGTGTTCCAGGATTTTGACCCAGCAGTAAGATATATCCTAGGTGAGATGGTGTGAGAGTTGGAGGGAAAATTGTAGGTGATGGCATTCCCTCGCATCGGCTGCCTTTGTCCTTCAAATGGTAGAGGCTGCTAGTCTGGAATGTGACCTCTTATAAAAGTATGGAGATTAATTTGATAGATTAGAGAAATGCTTTTGTTTCAAAAAGGAAATCCAAAGCAAGTGGATCTAATCTTAAAATTAAAGTTGGTCAATTTATGAATGCAATTAAGTAATTAATGCAAAAAAAGTACATTCTTACACCATGATTGAGCAAGATCCAGATTTTCACCAATCAAAAGGGTGCAGATGTTGGAACAATTTGAAATTAGTAGTCTTTCGTTGGAAATGGACTTCCAGGGATAAAGACCAGGTAGGTGCTACTGAGATTAAGTATGTTCAAGGTTGAGATGGACAGGTTTTTAATCAGTAAGGGAATCAAGGGTTATGGGGAAAGGGCAGGAAACTGGAATTGGAGATTATCAGATCAGCCATGATCTCATTGAATGGTGCAGCAAACCTGATGGGCCAAATTACTTCCTTCTGCTCCAGTGTCTTACAGCTAAGCCATAATCTAACAATTTTGGTGGAGGTGATTGTGTGGTGGTCATATCAGTAGATTAGCAATCCAGAATCTCCAGCTATTATATTTGGTACTTGGGGCAGTGGTTAGCACTGCTGCCTCACAGCGCCAGGGATTCGGATTCGATCCTAGCCTCGGGCGACTGTATGTGTGGAATTTGCACTTTCTCCCTGTATCTGCGGGGGTTTCCTCTGCGTACTCTGGTTTCCTCCCACAGTCCAAAGATGTGCACGTTAGGTGGATTGACTATGCTAAATTGCCCGTGGTGTCTCGCGTGGGAAATGCTGGGGTGGGTCTGAGTGAGATGATCTTTGGAGGGTTGGTGTGGACTCGATGGGCCAGCCTGTAAACCTCCTATGATTTTAAAAAAAAAATTAATGGCACAAATAACTCTAGCTTTAATGGCCTGCATTTGTTCTATGTCACGGCTGGAATGGTGTGCTCAAAACTAAAGTTTCTGGTGACAGTGATAATGTCCCTACCTCTGAGCCATGAGGCACCAGTTCTAATCTCCCCTGCTACAGAAGTGTGTAATTAACTTTTCTGAACAGGTTGATTGGTTTTCAGCACAGAATTTTCCCCATTCATAATGTTTCAGGCTACAACACAGCCAATGTTCTGTATGCGTTCAACAATATCGTTGATTTGTTCCATACAGTTGGACACAAGGATTCTAATTTAGGAGCTCTCTATTTGCTCTAACTACAGCCTCACTTTTGCTTCTATTATATGTTCCAGACTTAATATTCATCCCTAATTTCCCAGTTAACAGTCAACCACATTGGTGGGTCTCTGGAGTCACTAGACTGGTTATGGACAGCTGATTTCTCTCCCTGA